CTTCGCACGCGCTAAAAAATTCCACGCGCTCCGCGCTCACATTATGCTGGGCCCACGTGCCTTAGCACCGCTGCTATGACTCCATCCTAGGGAAAACACTGCTGTACATACAAATATTCAGCAACATATTTATAAACGGTGAATAAACCTATTCCTCTAACCTAACTCTAGCGCAAAAAGCTATGGATTTACAGTATTTTTGTCATTAAATTCTGGTGCTGCTTGAGTGGCAGCCTTGTTACAGCAGCTATACTCACAGCTGAGTAGTTTCCTCACTTTTGCTGTTACAATGTTCATGTCCCCTCTGTGGGACGAGTAATGGTATTTTGATTATTTTCCTTGGTTTAGAGATACAGCTCTGGAAAAAATTAAGAGACCACTGCACATTTTTCTTAATCCTCCATGTCAGCCATTCCATTCAAGTATCTGTACAGTATATCAGAGACTAAAAGCTGAAAAGCTAATTTTGTTGGTCAAGTCGTTAAACCCCAAATTTGTACTAGGTAGCATGTACTGTGGAGCTGTGGTTTTGTCTACATTACTGTATCATGATTACGTGTTGTTATATTCTACTACCTATAGGACCATGCAATGCTGGTTATTGGTGCAGAGAGGGGGCTTCCTCTCCAAGCCCACTTGATGGACGCTCAGGTTCCCTGTGTCCACCTGGTCAATACTGCCCCTCAGGTTACTGGCTTGCATCAGCCATGCTACATTACATTTCATTACATTAGCCATCAGCTGCTTTATTGCTGCTATATTGTTATGTTATAAACTTCCCAAGTTTTTAAAATAATGTTTTTAAATCCAACACTTGATTCGTAGGTTAATGTAACCAAATATATACTGTTTTAGGCTATTAACATTCTACCCCGTCAAATTCACAGGCTACAATGTTTTATTCATGCTAATTTCCATTTGGTGGCCTACAGGAAGTACTGACAACATTTATCTTGAAACTTGGTATACAGTTTTCTTCAAACTAATGTGTGCACTTTGTTGTCCTATCAGACTTGGGGCACTGACCTATGCTTTAGAAATACTGCTGTAGGGCAAACTCTGACTTTATCAACTCTGCACGCAGCAACATGCTCTTGTACTGTATGTCTCACTTATTTAGTTACACTTTATATCTAATAACAATTGGTACAACAAATGTACACTATATTGCATTGACAAACCCAATAACTCCATTGTTCGTGACATATTTTAATAGCCTTTTAATAGTTCTCTTAATGTTTGTTTCATATTAACAGGCACAACAGCTCCTATGGCCTGCCCTGAAGGCAGCTGGTCAAACAGCTCAGGACTGCGTAATCAGGAGGACTGCAAACTGTGTCTGGGTGGATTTTACTGCGACTCTGCTGGTCTCACTAAGCCTAGTGGGCCTTGCAGTGGGGGGTATACCGCTTGTCACAAAATAAAAATGTTGTCCTTGTTATTGCATTTCTTTCTGTCATGCTCATAGTCTCATTTCATGTTTCTTTTGCAGATTTTACTGTGTTAAGGGAGCCGTGACACCCAACCCTACTGATGGAATTACAGGGGGACCATGTCCTGAGGGTTCCTACTGTCCAGAGGCCACTGTTCAACCTCTGCCTTGTAAACCAGGGACTTATGTTGCTGTTACACATGCTACTGAGTGTGAGCCATGTGTGGCAGGCTGGTACTGTGTGTCTGGCTCTCTGTACTCGTGTCCTCCAGGTCTGTCATTTGTTGCATCGTATGTCCTTGAAACCATTCATATATTACTTCGGTGTTGATAATGTTTTCGTATCCTTTTTATCTATAAATGTTTTTTGTGACTGTTATGTGGCTTACAGGCTTTTACTGCCCTGAAAGAACTGGATTTGACTTAAGAGGCTGTCCAGAGGGAACTTATGGCCCTGACCCCGGCTACTGGTCCGTTTCTCAGTGCAGGCAGTGTGACGGCGGCCATTACTGCTCTTCCAGAAATGGCACAGCTGTCACTGGACAATGTCAAGAAGGATATTACTGCTCTCATGGAAACACCTCTCCACAACCCCTGTCACGGGCTGCAGGTGATAAATATATTTACAAGATATCTACTGCAGGTTCGCACATTCAGGAAATATGGAATTGTCAGCCTTGTTATTATGTGAGGAAGTCGTTCTCCATCAATGTTCCTATTTGGAGATTGTGGACAAATGGCAGTTTTGTTTTCTGTGTCTCATCAGAAGAGGGAGGGCCATGTCCTGCCGGTCATTACTGCCCCCAAGCCGCCATAAATCCTCTGCCCTGTCCACGTGGAACATTCTCTGATCTCACCAAATTAGCCTCCCAGGTCACTGAATCAATATTGCACTTACATGTATCTTTTACAATATTCTTCTTTTTTTTGTGTTAATAGTGAAAACAAATATTCAACAACTAAATATAATTTTTTTTCCTGCATCAAATGAGGATAATCAGTGATTCATAGGACATGAAATGAATACTCATACTCACATGAATACATAAAGAAATGAGGTATATATTTATTGTATTCATAGCAACAGCCAGCCACATAATTGGCTCTTCCCTGTTTATATTAAAAGACAGACAAAGAATGAATGATGCAACATTATAAAACAAAATCATTTATATTAATTATCTGTTAATTATGTAGTAATTTCTTAATTTTATTTTTACTTCTTCATTATTTCCTAATATTTAATATAAAACACTGTGAGGATGTCTTAAATACTGTACTTTCAAAACAAATGTATGGTCCTGCTACATTACATGCACCCTAATCAGTATACAATTAAGAGGAGAAGTACTTACATGTTTCCTCTGTCTTTCAGTGTGACAGCCAATCAATATCTAATCCCAAATCAATTTTACAATGAGGCACTCTCTTTCTTTCATTTTCTAACTGCCCATCTCTCTCTGCCTGTTTCATTTCACCTCTCAGGAGGATTGCCAGCCATGTCTCCCTGGTTACTATTGCGATGCTGCAGGGATTTCGGTCCCTTCAGGGGAATGCTGGGAAGGTTTCTTCTGTCTGGGGGGTGCAGATCGCCCTGACCCTCCTCTGATAGACAGCCGGGGAGGACCGTGCCCAAAAGGTAATCAGATCCCTTCAAATCAAGACATTTGTATTTAATATTTTTAAAAAAAATTACCGTACAGAACAAACTCTCGAAAGAAAATGCACAAAGAGAGTCAATACAGAACACACTGGGATAGAGTAATAAGGTTTCCATTGTTTACAGGCAAGATGCAATTTCTTAAGCATTACAGTATATAAAATACAAAAGAAGTGCGGTACACAATTAGGTTACACATTTACATAAACCCAGAACAAGCTTAGTGATCAGGTAAACAAAACCTTTTAATGTAATAGGGCTTGACATAAGCAGCTACTCTGTTGACAGTGGATACTGAAGCCTATCCCCTGTAGATTGTGCGTGTCTCTGTGTTTGCACTTGAGTGTGCAGCACTTTCATGACTCTTGCCTTCACACATCCAGGATATTACTGCTCTGAGGGCTCTGTGGCTCCTCAGCAGTGCCCGCTGGGAACCATCAGTACGGAGGACAGCGGAGCCGGCTGTGGTGCCTGTCCCCAGGGGTAAACTCCCTTGTTAGCCACACGCAGTCACACTGCACCATAAACATAGATAAATTGTCACATATAAACATGATGAACTATGAAACCTTTTAAATAGTAGATGTTTACACACATTAATGAATTCCCCCGAGCACTGCATACATATATATATATAGCAACAGTATATTCATGTTTCAATGCCACTTTTAGTAGCCAAGAACTAAATTATCCCATCCTTTTTTGTTTTGTCTGGATAGTTTTTACTGTCCTGGCAATAACGGCTCTCTGTCGAGGACTTATGAGTGTCCAGTGGGTCATTACTGCTTGTCCGGGACCTGGTCCAAACACCAGTACCCGTGTCCAGCTGGCTCCATTAACCCCCACACTCGGATGGCACAACCCCAGGACTGCTTGCCCTGCCCTCCAGGTCACACACCATTTACTGCCAATGTTTATGAGCTTCCTTAAAGTTGTTGTTGTTGACTAAGAGTTTAAGACGACCTTGACGGTCCATGGAAATTAAACACTGTATTGCCAGAATCAATTAAACTTTAAAAAGCAACTTTTATTAATAACTGTTTTTAACATAAATCAAACAAATGCTGCACTGAAACTTGAATTAATACGGTATGCAGTGCCTTTTCCCCCATTTTCCGCTTTGCAGGGTAATTCAGGTTAGTTTTCCCTTCCACTCAATTTCACTCGTTTTCCTATCAAACCAGGCTCCTTCTGTTTGTCTCCTGGGAAGAGTGTTGCAACAGGCCAATGCGAAGCAGGGTACTACTGCCTCTCTGGGGCCTGGTCACCCACACCAGAGGATGGAGAAACGACAGGGGACAGATGTCCTGAAGGTCATTACTGTCCCCAGGGCTCCTCAGCACCAGTGCCCTGTCCTATAGGAAGCTACAGCAACACAACCAGAAACCGTTATCTCTCCGACTGTCTGACTTGTCCTCCAGGTTGGAACTAATTTATGTTGCATACATTAGTGTTTAATTATGTGCCTTCTATCTGCCAGAAGATAAAGCATTCATTACATAACTTGATTTATCTGTGGCATAATCCCTTCACACGACGTGTGCGGCTGCTCAACAGTGCTCATTTTGTTTTGTAGGTTTCCTGTGTGTCACCAGAGGGCTCTCTTTCCCTTCTCATATCTGTCCAGCGGGCTATTACTGCCCAGGCAAAGTTAACAGCAGCCAGCAGGCCGCTATACCCTGCTCACCTGGAAATATGTGCCCACCTGGATCTGGTAGACAGGTGCCTTGCTTACCAGGAACCTACCAGGATTTACCCGGTCAGGTGAGAAGGATGAGGCTGAACAGTATGCTCATATTCTGATTGGACCTATAGTCCCAAATGCAAAGTGCATCCACTACAGTATATAATGCAAATAGAATAACCTATAGTAGCAGCAATTCTCAATTATTCAGTATAAGGCTTGATATACTTGGCTGAAAACAAAGTTTTACTTTCAAACTAGATCTAGTAGTGCTATTAACTAACTGTTTAAAAGATGGGTGTATTGGGATTCTTACTTATTTACTCATTATAAAGAAAATAATGGCCTCCTGAAAGCATCTCCAACCACTCTGTGTACTGTAAACAGTTTCAAGTTTAGCTTTTAGATTCTTCAACACAAGCACCGAAACGTTTCATGTCTGTTTACATTTGTGGACATTAGTTGTCAAACTCTTGTAACTAGTCTGTGTATATACTGTAGAATAATGAGCACTATTTACTTCTCCACAGGGAGAGTGTTTTCAATGTCCGGCAGGATTTTACTGTGCTGGATCAGTGGATAGTGGCACTGTGCATGTTTCTGGCACTCACTCTCCCACGTTGTGCCCAAAAGGACACTATTGCCCACCAGGTAGGATACAATAGTTCAGCTATTCCCACACATATTGACAAATGAATAATGTTGTCAGGTATCAATATAATGTATGTGGGACACAGGTAATGGTTCAGGCTCAGTGAGATTGATTAATGGTATAAAAACGTGTTGTACTGCATGCAAAACAGTGTTGAATATTGTTCTTGTTTTGTGTGTGCTCAAGATTAAGTGGCTGTAACAGTAAATGGCTTTCTAATTATGCAAATGTCGATTATAGAGCATAATCAAGATAAGGACGGCCTTCACAAAGTGTTCTGTGATGTTAAGTCCTGGACCATCTGTAGATATTATACGCTATTTATCTGCAGGAACACAGTCTGGTGTAGCATTCCCATGCCCAGCTGGTGCCTTCAGCAGGCAGATGGGTTTGTCCAATAAGTCGGGCTGTGCGCTCTGCCCTCCAGGGAGATATTGCAGTTCCTCTGGACTGGCTGCTCCCACTGGGGTCTGCTCTCCTGGGTAAACACATGCAATCTGAACACATACTTCATACTAATAGAAAGACTTTACAAGATATCCTGTTTTGTTTAATTCTGTCTCCCTTTTCTATAATTAAACCTCACTTTTGCTGTGTCTCCCTCTGTTTCGTCTATCACTTCCTACCTCCCACATCCCCCTCCCTATCGTCTCTGTCTTCATTATGTTGCTGCCCATAGTTACCTCTGTATCCATGGTTCTGTTTCTGCCCAGCCGGAGGAGGGCCCAACAGGAGGCCGCTGCTCTCCAGGGTCCTATTGCCCCCAGGGTACCAGCTTGATGGTTCCCTGCCCTGCAAGCTCCTTCAGCTCCGTAGACGGTGAAAACACTGAATAATTACAGATACACTATTGCTGACATTTGAACATAATGGCAATGTAACTGGGAATTTTTGTTATTGATCTAATATTTTTCCAAGAGGAATTATTTAATTTGACCCTTATTAATCACATTTTAATCATTTACATCACACATACAAATTGTGTTTCTGTTGTTCCAGGGGCAGTTTCTATAGAAGTATGTCAGCCCTGTTTGCCTGGCCATTACTGCGCTGAGGTTGGCCTTTCCTCCCCATCTGGGCTGTGCAAGCCAGGCTTTTACTGCAGGGAGGGATCCAGAACAGCCACACCTTGGGGTAACTATACAGGTAATAGACTGATTGTTCTTGCACTTTAAGAAGTGTTTGGCAACCATGAACAACTAGTTTGTAATATAGAAAAACAAGGCATCCGACACAAGCTTGAACAATGTTCTTCTATGCAATATTTTCGATCAAAGCACTTCTTTTTTATTTAACATTTTCATGACCTTTGACTCCACAGTGCTGATTCTTTCTCCACAGAACACTACCACCACTTCCACTGATTTCTCTTAGTAGTATATATCTCCTTGGGAATGCAGCAAATGGCTCTGGCCTTTTAGTACACTCACTAACCTAATGAGTAATGACATGCAGTAAAGGTCTATTGTCTCAGTTACAGGAGAAACCACAACAACATCCCCACATTCTGGCAATTCAACCATGGGTCAGTTCCATGGTGGTGTGTGTCCTGCAGGCCACTACTGTCCTAAAGGGAGTGCAAAGCCAAGCCCCTGTCCTCCAGGTAAAAACTAAAATATCTGAATAGAGTTCTGAAAGAAGAGGAAATGATTTCTCTTATGTAGCTAAACAGAAGTATATAATTCTCCTGTCATTTCACTTAATGACTATTGTGTCTGACCTCTTGCTTTTTATTACACTGCCTCTAAAGGTAGTGTACAGTTCCATAAAACCTCCAGAGGTACAATATAATGGCTTAATGTATCCAGCATTTTTACAGATGGTTGTAAAAGCTAATAGGAGCCCAATAAAACTGTCAAAATGGTTAGCTTGCTACTTAACCTTAAGTGAAATAATTGAGCCATACATGGTGCATATATACTGTTTAACACAATTATGTCATACTATTTCCTTTTCTCTGGATGTATACAGTATGTCTATGAGAGAGAGACAAAAGGAGTAATCTTTGCTCGAATGATAATTTGTCTGCCCAACATAGGCACTTTCTTGGGAAGGTCTGCGGCTGAGTCTGAGGCCGACTGTGCAGCTTGTTACCCGGGGTCTTACTGCCCCTCATGGGCTCAGACATCTGCCGACCTCCTCTGTCCCCCGGGGTGGTTCTGCCCGCCAGGATCAGTGTCCGGACATCAGCCAGGTACACTACACATCACCAGGGGTCAGCTCAAGTTCAGGGGAGTCTTTGCACTTCCTTTGCACTTCCTTGCACTTCTTTTTTTACCTTTGTTTCTTAGCACAATGTCTGATCATGTACTGTAAGTCTGGCTTCAAATAATAATGCTCACATGATGAAGTTGATTCAGAAGACCAAGCTTAACTTCATTCTCTCCCTGTAAAGGTCATACTGTTGTGCAACTTCACAAGTGAATGATATTGCACATCAAGTGGATAAGAAAGTACTACAAGGAAAAATGTCTGTACTTTGAAAAATGTATTTCATTTACAAACATTGTATCATACTGCATAACGGTTTGCACAATTCTCCATATGGCATTTGTCTTGTCTGTGAAAACCATGTGTCTTCAGAATCTCAAGCTCATTGCCTCTTCTTAATTTCCAGTTGGTTGTTGTTTATCAAGTTGAAGGAAGGTAGAGAAGAAACACCTAATCCTTAAGCTTTCCTGAAAATAAATGTTGGAGATATATGGGTTTTACGGAGAGCAACTACGTCCCATCTATTTTTGTTGTTTTGTGGCACTGTTTTACTATTTAGTCGAGTTATTTTAAATATAACTTGACATATTTGATCATCTGTTTGATTACCAGCATGCAATCCTTTAGGACCCACCTTTGTATGAATGTTTTTAAACTTTATTATGTTAAGGTATTTTCATGAGGTGTCTTCTCTCCAAATCTCGTTTTTCTGTACCTGGTTGAGTTACTGGTTCTATAGATTTGTAGCAGAACAAATCATACTATTCATAATGCTATACCATGGAGGTGATTACCGTATATGCCTCAGATGTGCTTTCCTCCTCCCACATGCACACCTAGATATTCTTTTAAAGGCATCCTCGACCTATTTTCTCCACTCAACAAGAAGGCGTCTTACTAATTTGAACATGAAATGACCCAGAATCCATAAAGAGTCTCCAGCTCAGAGTCAGGGCACGCATCTAGCTGAGCCTGCTTTCTCTTCTCTTCTTTTACAGGACACATTTTGCTCAGTCACTCTCTTATTCAGTCCTTTTTTCCATGGTACTAAATAGAGTATGGCAAAATGCAACAGCAATGCTTTCTTACATCAGAAAGTGCAACACAAATACCTTTTTAAGATGATACATTATATAAGAAGCATATTTTATCTTCACATTTCTTTGTTATCCATGTAAACAAGGAGGGACGAGAGGACAGTTTAAACTTTTAATTTATCTAATTGTGTTTCAGGCCATCGCTGCCCACCTGGCCATGAGTGTCCACTCGGTAGTGCTGAGCTGGACATATGTAGCCCTGGCACATTTCAATCTGTATCTGGACAACACACTTGTAACAGCTGCCCACCAGGTAATTAACTCACATTTTATGACGTGAACACAAATATACAAAGTGAACTGAAGCCTATAATGATTCAAATATGCATTACCATGCCCAGGATTCTACTGTATGGAGGGTTCAGTTGTGCCATCTCCATGTCCGATGGGCAGTGTGAGTGCATCAGCTGGCAGGACGTCCCTGGCTGACTGCCCCCCCTGCCCCTCTGGCTCCTTCTGTAACAGCAGTGGCCTGACAGAGCCGTCTGGACCCTGCAGCCCAGGTTTGACAGACCAGCATGACCATGGGAAATGGTTTCAGAAAATTTAGTTATACAAGTGTCTTTTCCTCTCCTGCATTTCTTCACTGAATTGAGCCACAGTTTCCCATGAATGTTGCAGGTTGTAAGTGAGATGTCTAATAGCATTGTCTACCACAGGACATGTTTGTTCCCTGGGGTCCACTGAGCCTTCCCCTGTCTCACAGTCTTATGGAGATGTTTGTCCCATGGGGCACATCTGTCCACAAGGTAGCGGGTTACCAATACCCTGTCCCGCGGGCAGCTTCCTCCCAGACCCTGGAGCTTACTCCCCCACTCAGTGCCGCCGTTGCCCCCCAGGGAAATACTGCGTCACTCCTGGAAGCTCACAGCCCACAGGTGGGGGATTTCACCAGGTTTCCAGTTAGTCAAGGAGAGTTAGTCTTATCATCGAGTGCCAACTGTTTGAAATCCACGTGTCATGCTTTAGATGTAAATCACAACTAAGTGCAGGGTCATGTTCTAGATGCCTGAATTGCTGTGCACATAAACAATTTTTTCTGGCGATTAAATACATAATATAATGAACTGATAAACTAGGAGGACATAATATGTGATGGATAGTCTTTCCAGTTTTCTCTTACCTCCTTGTGTCAGGTCTGTGCTTTGCAGGTTTTTTCTGCTCTGGAGATACAAAGAGCCCCACACCTCGAGCAAACTCCGCTACATTGAGCTGTCTTTGTGAAATACTGGAGGATTATAAACCGAAGACAGACGCCGCCCTCTGGATTCACAATCTGTCTTGCTTCAATAACTCCCGGAACTCTGGTAAAATATGTGTCTCTTGATGTAATAACACAGCAAATGCATCCTTTTAAAAGGGCATGACTTTCTTTAAATTATTCAACTAGAGCACAAAGCCTTGCATGTTTTGATAAATGTCCCACAAAGCAGTAGCATTTTCAGCCTAACCTTCCCCTCAAGAAGTCTACAATTAATCTTTCTCCTTTCAGTGTTACATTTTTGTATTTATTTTTGTTCTTTTGGCAGTTTGAACTGTTTATTCAGCATTTACAGAGACAAGAGAAACTCCTTTTTTGGTTTCCTCTCTGCAAGACAAATATACTAACTGGGACATCTCTCATGTTTTATTGACTGTGTTCTATTATAGGAAGCAAAGCTGGCTGGATTGAAGTGGTAACGCCACCTCAGGCAGATTCAGACAGCATTCTGAGTGACTCACCGCCATGTCTCAAGAGTCCACATTATGCCTGCTCCACCTACAGAGGAGACATATGCCCTAAGGGTGGGTAAATCCTGACAGTGAACCTGTGTTAGCTTGATGTGATACTTTGTTTATTGCTTCAGGCGCACATCTTATCTTTCTTGCTCATGACATGTTTGTCCCATATACTCAAATGCTGTGACATAAGACTGATTTGATCTTATCTGTACAGTCTGTCCATGATAACCCAATTTAATACCTCTTCATCTTTGTTTTATACGAACACTCAAATAATACATTAAATGTTACTTTTTGTCATTAAAAAACGCTGATGGTTATTCAAAAAGAATAACCCTTCTCAAAAACCGTGTTTTTTGAAGGTTCACACTCCCATTTATAAAGACCTGAAAGCCTAAAGAGAGCTAGAGATGGACTTCTCCCTTGAGGAGCTGCAGATGGTTTGGTGATGGTGCACATACAAGAGAAACACAAAAAAAGGAAGAAACAGCTTTACACGAAAAAAACAAGAGTGTGGGAATTAAAAGCTAAAGTCTGAACAAATCCTTCATCTCTAGAGGAACTGTGGGCTTAGGAACATTAATCCTCCTGATTGGACTTTGGATCTTGCTGAAGTTGATATATTTCAGTGATACTTTCCGTGGCTATTTTTCAGGCTTCTATTGTCCTTTGGGCTCTGCATTCCCCCTACCCTGTGAGGCTGGCTCTTACTGTAACAAGACTGGTCTGGATGTCCCGACAGGGCCCTGTGCAGCAGGATATTACTGTCCCAAAGGCTCTTTAAACCCCCATGCCTCCCTTTGTCCCCCGGGACACTACTGCCCCCCTGGAACTCTTCTTCCTCTGCCTTGTCCTGTTGGAACCATACAAAGTGAGATCAAACCCTTTTTTGATATAGTTGTAATTGTTTTATTGATATCATAATATCATATATTTAGTTATAAAAATACTTTGTGTTTGATATTTCTTTTCTTAAAAACAGGCAAGTCATTAATCCCTTGGGCTTGTTTGGTCATGAGGAGATGATGAATGAGTAATAAGACACATTGCTAAACAGAGACATACAACATCTAATCCTCTTTGGATCCATTTGAATCCATTGTCAGTGTTGCACGCTCATGACCTTACATGAACTGATCTCTGTCATTGCAGTTCAGTGATGCGGAGAAAATTAAAGCTTCCATTGAAGCATTTTTATCTCCCTTGGGCGCCTATGAATAATTTCAGTAACAAAGTAGTTTAATCGTGTAATTGTATTCTTGTCTTGCGGCGGACAACTAGAATCATATTAAAATGGGCTGTAGCTCTTTGTATGGTTATGAATTAGGAACTGACGAGGGAATACATTATGTGCTTTTCATCATATTAACATTATCTATTTTATGTGCTTTCATTTTGCCAATTTTGTTTTCAAGTCAACAAACACTGATGCCACATTGAGATAAATATAGAACAATATTTAATTGAAGACTTAAGTACTCTATATCAATTTATGAGTTCATTTTCAATTGTGTGCCAACCATCAGGCTCCTTGGGTGGGTCTACAGTGGAGGCTTGCCAGCAGTGTCCTCAAGGTCACTACTGCCACCAGAGAGGAAAAACTGAGCCAAGTGGCTGGTGTGCAGAAGGCTACTACTGTCCTGAGGGGCAGAACGCTGAGAGACCACAACAAAATGTCTGCTCAGTGGGACATTATTGTGAGAAGGTCAGCCATCCAGTATTGGTCTGCCAGCTATTGTCTGTCATCACTACTGAATATTACATGTGATGTGTCTGCATGAGTCTTCCTTCTTAGCTATAGTTATTTTTCTGTCGTGACAAGTGCATTACCGCAAACAATAAGTCAATTGATGTTTTCTTCCTGTTTTGTCATACCATCTCAGCCTTCTTTGTGTGTTGTGGCTGTCTCCGTCTCCACTGTCATTGTTGCACCATTGTTATGTTTCATGTATGTTATTCTGCAGATATTAAGTCTGATGTTTTATTTAATGTTTGCTTCAGGGCAGTGTCAAACCGACTGCTTGCCTTCCAGGCAGCTACCAGCTGAGACAAGGCCAGGGCTCGTGCGAGACATGTCCTGCTGGTTCCCATTGTCCAGATCAAGGTGAAGCTGACAGGTTGACAAACTGTTAGATTACAAAGCAGCTGGGAACATACATATGCAAATAATATTGACACTTCAAAAGTCAATTCCATTCTGTGCCCCATCTGTACATCAGGAATGAACATTCCAATGCCATGTGAGAGAGGATTTTATTGTCCCAGTGGATCAGCCAATCAACATCCCTGTCCAGCAGGAACCTATGGAAACAAGTCAGGAATGGTTGAGGAATGGCAGTGCTCACTTTGTGACCCTGGGGTGTACTGCAAAGGAACAGGTACAATGCCTCCACTCCTGACTCTATTAGTGTTGTGTTATTTGTTCTCATAAATATCTATCTTTCTAAGAGCTGTGGTATTTAGTGATGTCTTTTAGAAACAATTAGAGGTGAATTGCTGCTCTGTTGTTAGGGTGATAAACCTGGCTTGAATTATTCTTATTTAAAGGGAGGACTTTCCCCAGTGGGCCGTGCACTGCAGGGTTTGTTTGTGTTGGTGGAGCTTCTGAACCTTCACCACGGGACAATCTAACTGGATTCCCATGCCCTCCTGGCTTCTTCTGCTTTGTGAGGACTTCAGTACCAAAACCATGCCCCAAAGGAACATTCAGGTGCTTTTCCTGCAGTTTCTCTATACTATAATCTATCTGTGATGACAACTAACCATTTGTTTTTTACAAAACAAAAGATATGAACTCTTACACTACACTCTACACTACTACAGTGCATGGTTACTCTATGAATATAGTAGTATGATTTGAAAATGTGAAGATGTCATCAAATTCACATAGATGACAATCCCTCTGGAACATAATGATTTGTATGTATACATATTCAAGTTATAAAACAAGAGATTTGATGTGACTATTAAGTTGTTTCTCATTAAAATGCCTCTTTTGACAGTAAGCAGAGCGGGCTTGTGGATGAGTCTCAGTGTCGTAGCTGCAGTCCTGGCTTTTACTGTTCAGAGACAGGCCTCTCTGCAGTCTCTGGAGCCTGCCTGCCAGGTCAAAATCTGACTAGTTATGCTAGTGCATTTGCATAATCTTACTTGATATAAATGCTTAGCTTTTCAAACATTTTATGAAAATCTTTCTCCCCAGGTTTCTACTGTCTCGAGGGGTCCCATACTGCCACTCCAATGTCAAGTGTATCTGGTGGTGTTTGTCCAGCAGGCCACTATTGTGCCGAGGGCAGCATTGTGCCCTCACCCTGCCCAGCTGGCTCTAACCAAAATGAGACCGGAGGAAAAGGCAAAGATTACTGCAAAACATGCCCGCTTGGTAAGCAGGATGAAATCATTATATAAATATAACTCTTACCAACTAACTTTATACTGTACAAAGTCCCTTGTCCTCTCCAAAGACTTCATGACAGTTTGAATGTCTTTGCTAGGCTCGTTCCAGGATTTCGCCGGCCAGAAAGAGTGTAATCCCTGTCCTCCTGGGTTCCATTGCCAGTCCCCGAGTCCCAGCGCCACAAGGGGGAGCTCCACTGGGGTCTCCAGCCCTCTGCCCTGCCCAGCCGGCTATATCTGCCCCAGGGAGAGTCAGCCTGTCCCCTGCCCAAAAGGCACCTACAGCCCCAGCCACGGTCTCACTTCCACAGGTAAAAACCCTTTGTGGAAAAACACAAATAATGGAGTTAAATTGCGCAACTGTCTGGCATTATTCTTTTTTTTTAAATAATAGGGCTAGGGTTACATTGATTGAGAGAGTTAATGCCTTGCTAAGGTAGACGTGTTTTGGTGTTCCTGAGGGCTTCAGTCAAATTGGATTTTCCTATTAGTCTTTACGTAAAAAACAAAGGGGAAGAAATCTGAATGAACTGTCTACAATAAAATAAAACCTTTTCAAGGCTGGCAAAATATGATTGGTCTTCTTGAAATGAATGATTGCCTTAATGAAGTTGAATTGAACACATTGGCATCTCCAGCAGTGTGCAACCGTGTTGGAGACATTGTGATTGATCCCACCTGGCATGTAGCTTGTTTTGCTGTTTGGCCCAAAGTCAAAGCTGTCAATCTGTGTTGGCAGGCGAATGCCTAGTGTGTCCAGCGGGTCAGTTTTGTGGATCAGAAGGTTTGATTCAACCTTCAGGATTGTGTGCTTCTGGGTTCCTCTGCCTTATGGGCGCCACCGTGCCCAACCCGACTGACAATAAAACTGGATCTCTCTGTCCACCCGGGACTTTCTGCCAACAGGGGCTGAGAGCAGGTAGATGGAAGACATTTCTCCTGATTTGATTAATTTTGAAGATAATATCCTCCATTTTAATTGGTAATTATCCCTTTTGTGCTTTAGGTGATTGCTGGCCAGGGTTTTATTGTGACCGGGGTTCTAGCAGAGCAGATAACGCTTTCTGCCCGGCTGGTTTCTTCTGCCCCAGTCGAACACCAGTCCCTATACCTTGTCCTGCAGGGACCTTCAGCTCTGAAATTGGCAACACGCATCAAAACAACTGCACCGCCTGTACCCCTGGGTATTACTGTCAAGGTGGGAAACATTGATTGTCTTTGAGCTATCTTTTGCAAGAGGCAGAGGATTTTCTTTATTCAACAGTCATATAGTGAGGGATCCATACACTGAGGATTAAAGATTGTGATTAATTTTCACTCGTCACAATAGATTAGCATGCAGTGCAGCCACAGGACATGTTTTAATAAGGGACACAGATATGATCAGAGACATGTTGAAAGGACACAAGTGATTGGCTAGTGCAGAAAATGTTCAAGCCCATATGTTCCCTTTTTAGTGAAAGCTACAAATACACCTATCTATGGGGATTGTCCAAAGTCACTCGGAAGCTTATTATCCCACTAATTTAAGCAGACTTAATACAAAATAGGAACAGCTAATGGACACCTTTCTTTATCTCAGTTAATCTAAATGACAAATGATTTGACAATGTCAGATAATCCATTTATTTAATTATGCGGCTGTACCTTTTCAAAGTCAAGGACATTAGACAACCATAAGGTGTGGAATTGTGTTCAATTAATTTTCCTCCTTAATTCTTCTCAGATGCAGGTTCTGTACAGCCTGCTCTGTGTCCAGTCGGATATTACTGTCCTCCGGGCCTGACTCTAGGACTGGAGTTCCCGTGCCCATCTGGGACTGTGCAGAGCCAGATCGGAGCCTCCAGCCCGGATGCCTGCCTGCCCTGCCCTGCTGGTGTGGAAAGAATGAGTGTTTGATATACATCATCATAACCCAAGCCTTAATTTTTAATAATTATGAATAAATACATAAACTGCATGTGCACAGAGAGGTTACAGTGTTTGAAATATTAATAATGACAAATACTTTATTATTTTGGTGGTTCCTGCAGGAATGTTCTGCTCTCAACCTGGACTGTCGCTGCCAACAGGACTCTGTGAGGGAGGGTACTTCTGTCCCGGGGAATCAACCAGCCCTTACTCCACTGAGTATCAGGTGCTGTTCTTTTCCCCTGTGGCCTCAGTTAGTATGTAATCTGAAGTTGTTGGTCAGTAGGTCCTTGTTCTTAGAGATGGATTCTTAATGATACTGTTGACCCAATGACCTTTTATATAATGAAAAAATGTAAATCTGAGTGGAAATTGCCTGAGCACATTCATGCTTCCTTTTTTTCATTTTGTACCCATTATCTCACTTTTAACAGCCCCATCAACTAAATGTCAACTTCAGAAGATATAAAATATGGCTGCATTTACATTTAATTAGCTATCCTTATTGATGGTGCCTTGGTGATGAATCACTTTTCTCTAACACAAAATAAAGCCTCAAGGTCCACCGGGAAGCATGATATACTTAAATGTACTGACAGAGATGTAACATTTCGGCCACCATATTGGTCACTCAAACCAACATGCATTGACGATATTTATGATGTTTGTCCTATTTCAGTATTCATATCATGTTGAAAATACATCTAATTAATCTAGCTCCTCTAAAATTATTGTGGTCTTGTGTTCGTTAAAGGTCTGTGTTTTAAGTATCAGCCTCGGGAGACCTCACGGAAGTAGTAGACTTTGGATGCGAGCTGAATGCTTACTTTACAGTAATATGTATTGTTAGTATTTTTGTACACACATGTTGTTGATGTTCAAATATTTAGATGTTTTCCTAATTTCAGGGGAACTCTACCAGAACCCACATCTGTCCTTCTGGACACTACTGCCCCTCTGGAACTGGCTTTCCGCTCCCCTGCCCCACAGGCTCACTTTCCATCTTCAGAGGACTGAAGGCAGTTGATGGATGCCCACCCTGCCCCCCTGGACTGTTTTGTGACAGGCCTGCAATAGCAGGGCTCTCAAATGCTCGTCCATGCAGTGCTGGGTAAACACGATTGTTCTTCTGCTTTTTCACTTTTAAATATTTGGGGCGAGGATGTCACCCAGTTTGATGGTGTTGTCCAATGGGTACATGTATAATTTTGAAGTTGACTTAAATGTTTAAAGTGGACCTATCATGCTATATTTGAACAGTATATTGTAGGGCCATACTGTACCTATATAAAACATGTCTGTGAAGTTTTTTTTTCAAAATACCAAACAGATCATGAATTTTAGTCATGCCTCATTTCGCTCTATTTGCTCTTTTCCAGCCCTGTTTTTGCAAGGGCTGATTCTGTGGCAAATGAGCTGCAGCTGACCACGC